AAAAAAAAAAAAAAAAAAAAAAAAAAAAAAAAACAGTAACGCTATGTTAACAAAACACCCAAGTTAATAAATCGTCACCCTTTTGTCAGTTTTGAGACCAGAAAAAAAAGAGGAGCGTCGATTTTAAACCATTTTATTCGGGGTGGATAACAACTATTTGTACATAACCCCTAAAAAGGGGCAACATCCCTTCTCGTTACGGAGTCGGCGTTGCTAGGCAACGGCAGAACAAGCTAAAGATCAACTGTCAGACGCTAAAACTACCAGCGGTCAGCGGATGATCCGGCATTGTAAAACCCACAGTCATTTCCCTCAGTAATAACCTAATTACAGTGTTTTCTTTAAGTACGATGAGAGAGCCCTGGTTAAAGATTCGTGATACTGTTCTGAAAAGAAAAGTGGTTCCGGAGTATCTTCAGCTGATGTCGGCTCTGTTGTTTCTCACATCATCTGAACCAAAATTCTGTTGAGAAATTCAATTTCTACATTTAGCTCTATGGAAAATTGATGACATAGATTAATAACAGTGAATATCCATCATTCAAGCTCAACCGATCCTAAAATCTCAAATCCATAAAGTGTGTAGTGCAAAGTGTGTAGCTCAAATCATGTGCAGTTTTAGTGTCAAAACCCCAACTACTTTCTATTTTGCATGCCAGCTGTTGACTTAATTAATTTTTCACTAATTTCAGCTCCACACAGCCACTCCTAGGATAGGATGTTCAGAGCAGTCTTTATTCCTCATCATGGGTGAACCCCTTTCCACAGAGACACTCCCCCCTCCCACACACACACACACACACACACACACATACATGGGGAGAACATACAAACTCCACACGGAAGCCGGGATTTGAACCGGGAGCTCTGCTGCTAACACCAACAGACTCATTTCTCCTCTTTTGATTCAGTCCCTCATTTTAGCTTCTAAACTAAAACAAATGAATGAATTGACCTTTGAACTAGTTCAAGTTTTAAACAGTGACTAATGAAAGTGAACTACTGTATAAAGCCCGTAGAACACAGCTTTGTGCACAGCTTTCCTGCAGTTAGAAAAAAAAATATTCACCATCATTTTACATAATTTTTATTCTATTTCCAGTTATGTTTTGCAGACATCAGTCTGCTTGCACTCACTGGCGTTACGAAACAAGCCGAGTATGCAGAAATGCTCTTCACTCCTGTGTATGGTGTGAAATGCATTGCCATCAAGGATGTGGTTTTGTGGTTTATTTTCTTCAAGCCAGAGGACATAAAAAACCAAATAAACACCCACAGGGAGGTATCAGGGCGCGCGTGTCGAACTGCTTTTCACATATTCAGGCCCCTATTTAAGATTGCTTCCTTTAACACCCCTATTAGTCGTGAATCCGTTTGTTGGTTAGATCATGGCTGTAGCTGAGCTTCTTTACACGGTGGTGGAAGTGCTCATTGCTGTTAGCTGCTGTCTGGGTAACGTTCTGGTTATTTTGGCTTTGTGGACCAGTAAATGCATCCAGCAGCCCACCTTCTGCCTCATCGTCTCCCTGGCCGTCGCTGACCTGTTGGTTGGATGTGTGGCCGTACCGTTGGCTGTGGCTGTGGACGGGCGACTGAACACTTCGTTCCACTTGTGTCTCTTCATCAGCTGTGTGGTCATCCTGTTGACTCTTGCTTCAGTATTGAGTCTGCTGGCCATCGCTGTGGACCGTTACCTCCGGGTGTATATCCCTATCAGGTAAGACTCATCAGGATTTTAACTGTGCTCATATCACTGCGAGATGAAGTAATCTTTGGTTTGTATTTTTGGGATGGAGACGATTTCAGTTATAAATATGTGTCATTTCCCATAGGTACAAAAGGACTGTAACACAGAGACACTCTCGTCTCGTGGCGGCTGCATGTTGGCTTGCCGCGGTACCACTGAGTTTCGTACCCATGCTTGGATGGTACAACCACGAAAACCTCCCTCAGCCTAACAACTCAACTATTTGTTGCCAGTTTGTGTTTGTGATCCCCATGTCTTACCTGGTTTACTTCAGTTTCTACCTGTGTACCTTAACACCTTTGTTGGTGATGGCCGTTTTGTACGGCTGCGTCCTCCACAAAATTAGACGAAGCCTTCGAAAAAAACCAGGCAACGGTGCCCAAAAACAGTCACGAAACTACCTGAGGAAAGAGAAACAGCTGGCAGCATCTCTGTTCCTGGTCTTGGCCCTGTTTGCTCTGTCATGGCTTCCTCTTCACATCATGAACTGCGTTGTTTTCTATGAGCAGAAGGTTGTACCGGCAGAAGCGTTCTATGTTGGCATTCTGCTATCTCACGCTAACTCTGCCGTGAACCCAGTTTTCTATGCGTTCAAAATAAAAAAAATCAAGAATGCATATCTGAAACTGTGGAAGAAGTACACTTCATGTTCAGCAGAAAATCCAGGATCTCACACAAGTCAGACATCAGACAACATTCCCAGCAGCGACTTTATGGTTAACGTCTCTTAATCCATAACCGTCACTTGCCACCTGTGAAACAATCTTTACGGTTTTTTCCGTGTATTTTTCAATTTGTCCTGTAAAACAAGTGTTTTGAAAACATGTGTTATTAATAAAAGCGCAATCATGAGCCGACTTAAACAGGTCTATTTCGGTTCCGTCAACTGACAACTCTGATTTCACATTTACCTCAAACTTACTATAAACAAGTTTAAGATGTTATCTTCCTTGCACCTTTTTATCTAAATATGCCATCATTTAAAAAACAAACAAATTGTAGGCATGTCATAGGAAAGACACTCATAAAAACGGTTTTACTGAAATTTTCAAATGAGAATAATTTGGATAAAAAAACAATTATTTGTTTAATTCATTGTGACACTACTATAATGAGCTTTAATCATTGCTCTTTGAATGAGAATCTGAGATCACTGTGAATATAGACATTTGTGAGTGTGATCATGTGCCTGTGAACAATAGCAATGCTTCCACAAACCTTTTCATAACCTCCCACTCATTCATGTCAGGTCAGAATCGTGCATGTAACTCCAAGAAACCTATTATAAAAAGTACTTTTTATAGTATTTATCTGTATCTTCCCTATAACGTATGGACTTTTGATTCTTTTTGGTGTCTTAAAGTTATGAACTGATTGTCTGTGGCAATCACAAACATTAAAGGGCCTCATCTAAGTCTCGAGCATTAAGCTGCATCTCACAGACACTGGACAGGAGGTTGGATGGATGTTTATTGATGAATGACAAATTAGCCACACAGCAATAGCAAAACAACATTGTCCATTTAGGAGATAAAACCTTACATCACAGTTTATTTTTCCCACTTTCCACTACAGGAAATAAGCAAACGTTATGATTTCACCCACCTAGATCCCAAGCTTTTTTATCCAGTGGTCCGCATTGAATAGCACGAAGCTAACTAGTGCAGAACCCCACAGGAATACTTTTTTAAGTGTCATTTTGTGAGGCACATTGACATGAAGAAAAGAGAAAAGCCGCTGTCCTAAGTCACAATCAAAGCCAGAGATAGGAAAAAGATGCAGTCACTTCATTTTAAGAAAGGGAAGCAGGCAAATAATTAACAATGCTATCAACCAGACAATCAATTATATTCTGACGCTTGCTTTTCACCCTTTCATACACTTTCATCAGTAAATTCTGTGCTTCCGATTCATCCTCAGTCGTGCTGTCCTCCACATAACGGCAGTTGTTAACGTCTGTAACGAAAAATTAGAAGCATAAATTTAAAATGCATGAACAGGCAACTCTCATATTAAAATTTCACAGTCACAAGTGTACACAGATATGAAGATTGTTTACATTTAAAATATTGTAATTAATTCCTGTCAGATAGGTTAGGCTGCAGCCCTTCTGGGAATAAGCAATATGGATAATGGATAGATTATTCTTTTTTTGTGTTCATGAAATTAAATTGATTTAGCTGATTAAGTCCCGATAGCTAAACAGATTATCCTAAAGTCATACACTGTAAAATGTTCTGTTCTTGAAAATAAAAAGAAATAAATGTTTTTAAACAGCAGTAAAAATAGTTTAATTTTTAAATAGAAATGGCAATGATAGTTAATAATATTGTCAGTTGCATAATAATCTCACCAAAATCTGTGTTCAACACTTTTGGTTTGGACCAGCCAAGACACTCTGCCTGAGTCTCAAATTCCTTCATCTCAGCTTCAGTGATGGCATTTCTTTTACCTGGTAGAAGGGTATAATTGAAGAGGAATATCTTTTAGTGAGGATCCAACTAATACACTTGTATCTAATTTATTCATCCCACAGATCACATTTATCCTAACTGTCACACATTTGCATGTTCAATGGTTCTGATATTCTTACTCAGGAGCACAAGAGTGCCAATGGTATCCTCCGACTGTACAACGATGCAGTCCGGGCAGCTGGTCTGTAGCAGCACATTTGGACTACCAGTTGGATTATCTGTCAAAAGTAATGTAGATAGCTATTGCAAAGAAACATACGGGTGGATTACATTAAAAGTATGACATGATAATACCTATGACTATATTGGGTATCAAATTATTTAACGGAATTCATTTATTTAAGGTCTGGCTTTAAAAAAAGGCTGAATTTTTATCTTTATTCCCTCATATTTCCCACATTTCCTCACATTTAAGATTAAAGTGAACCAAAAGTAACACTGCAAACATACTTGTGAACAAAATGTATAAGTTGTCAGTACCTCACAGAGATGAACAACCACGCACATTCACATTCACTCCTAGTCTTCGATCAACCTGGCTTGCTAAGCAGTCAACATTTGTAAGTATGCAGGAGAATCGAGGAAAAAAAACGTTGAACGGAAATCTTACTGTCACTGTCGACATCCCAAATTTTCACGTGGTCATTGAAAAACTGCTCAGTTTCGTTTACACAAAATCCGTACCTGTGAATGAGGTATTAAAGCTTCAGTACCTTAAGTGCAGATGTGAATTGGATCAAATACCTTAGCAAGAAAAAAGCCATTCTTACATTTTAAGTTGTAAGTTGGCATCATAGAGATTTGGCAGTCCTTTGGAACTAATATCCATCACAATACTTGGCCAGAAAACAGCATTAAATACTGTCGAAGGGAGACATTGCTTTGTGGCAAAAGCTAAGTAGTACCATCTCCCGGGCAGCTGAAATGAAAAGAGAGTATTCGAATGAACTTTTATTAACACTTTACAATGAAATATTCCGAATAAATGTCAAAGACTTACATCTGGACCTTTTTCCAGTGGCTTTGACAGCTTGTCGCAGGCCAGCGAGGCAGACTGGCACACTGAGATGAGAGTCAGCAGGATAACAGCAACACACAGTGTCCTCATGGTTGCTCAGTAGAGGCTCCCGTCTAACCGTCCACTCTCTCGGGTCTGTCTTTCAATGCTTAGCTAACCAATTATTTTCCTGCTACTTCCAACCACCCCTTTCGAGAATGTAGGGTGGACACCACATGCTTACTTCAATGTTTGCTTTAAAATCTCTGTTTTCCAAATATGGCCTTGGTTAGTCTAATCATTGACAAGAGTGTCGCTGGTATCTATTGACTTGTTCAAATCTGACTCGTATCAAGATCAATCACACTGATTGACGGTAACTGTGTTTCTAATCATACATAATAAATCAATACATTTGACTGCCCTTCTGTACTAATGGAACAGGCTTGGCAAGTAGCAACCCATTTCAACTGAATATTCATGCGTTTAAAAAAAAAGGTTTGGTTGCATCAGCGTCATAAGCACTGTGTTTCAAATTCATCACATCAAATGAGATTTGGGATGATACTGTACACATTCAATCTGGGCAAACGCTTTTCTTATTGATATCTCTAACTGAATCTTAATGTTTGAGTCATTTCTTAACTTGATAAACACAGAGAAAATCATTTTTATGATCTCTTCTTTTGTTTTTTTAAAAGGTTTCTTGTTCTGTGGTCACTGGCAGCCTGTCCAGAGTGTACCCTAACTCTTGCCCATTGCAGGTTTGGACAGGCTCCAGTTTGTTGTTTGCCACATCACTAATCAATCTTGATCTATGGACTCAAATGTAATAACTTTTTTTGTATGAACATTTAAAAGTAAAAAGCATGACACAAAATGTGTGTACTTGTCCTAAAAACAAGTTTGTTGGTATAAGAATGAAGAGAACGTCTGAAATTGTTGATTAATTCCCCTTAAAAAGAAAAAACTCAATAGCGAACAAGTTTGGGCCTTCACACTTTCCGGAGTGATTTCGTCACGGCGTTTTACAAACGTAGTCGCGCGCTGCGGGGGCTCTAGCATAGACGTCTATGGGCTCCAGTATCCCGTGGTAACGAACCTGGACACAACACTGCCACGGTTGATTGTAGTAGATAGTGGAATATCTATATATATTGTTGCTGTCCTTTTTTCTTTAATTGATCTATTTACATAACGACTCATAACAAGCGAACACCCCTGGGTTCAACTCCACACTCAGATACATCGTGAATGTGTCCCACAGATTATGAATGTGTTATTATTATCATGAAGCTAAAGTGGTCAACAGAGCAAACGCTTCCGTATCTCGCATTTTCTCGCGGGTGGACTTTACCCGAACATATGAAACCTTATGAAAAGTTATGAAACGTGGGCCCGTCTTTCATGGCTTCTCACTAATGTTCTCATTTTACTTGGTTAAACGTTAACTTGACGCCAGCTCACAGATTTTTGCGTTTTCTCGTCAGTCGCTGAGATTTTGCTGCTTTTTGAGGACCAACCTGCACGCTGACGTCAGACGTAAGAAAATAACGTTTACATCTGTTTTTAGGGCTAAATGTAGTCTTGTCCGACCTCTTACCAATACCTCTATACCCCCCCCCCCCCACTACTCTTTCTGTACTTCCCTCTATCTCTTCGTTGTTACCAATGACTCTGACTCGGGATTTTCCTCTATAGACATTATTGTGAGATTGATAACTGTAATGTCGTAGCGCCTACTCGAGCTTTGTTTCAGGTTTCACGCGCACAAAGGCTGGCTCTAGCTGTGATGAAACCACGTGCACGTGCACGTGCTTGACTTTAGTTTATATGTTCACAACGTCAAAGACAGCTGACGTAGGTCCAGACGATTGAGTTATTTGACTACATTACTATAATTACAAGCAAAAAAAGAGAGAGAATAATACAATGGAGTGTGAAGATATTAAAAAGGGTGTAGTTAAAGTTAAATATAACCCAGCAGGGTATTCCAGCAGGAATGCTGGGGGGTTAATGTGTAATAGAAGGTCATAAAAGTAGTAGTTCATTCATGGTCTTTAAAACATTAGGGCTGACAAGCCTAAAAGGGATCATCAAACTGTGAATAGTACTTTCAAAATAACTCATCTAGCCATCATTTTCTTTATAGACTGATTAACGTTGCTGTACAAAAACAGTATCGGCTTCCTCTTTCTCAGCAGCCAGTAGTCAACCGGTGGCTTTGTCTCCTTCTTCCCCGTAGGTTCTCTAATCATGCAGCTGGTGGTGCGCCAGTACCGTCCCTCAGACAAGGACACGGTGCTGAGCCTGTTCAGCATCGGCATTCAGGAGCATATCGGCCCTTGTTTTCGGAACGCCGCCACCAGCCCCCTGTACCTCGCCATCACCCTGTCCCTGCTGATCACCGGCTACCTCGTCGGCTCTGTATTTGCAGCTGTTTTGCTGCCGGCCGCCTGGTTGGGCCTCGTCTACCACTGCTGCCGTGAGCTGTACGCCGGCTACGTGAAGGAGCGGCTGCGGACGGACATGCAGGACATCGTGGGGAACTACCTGAGCAGACCGGACGACTGCTTCTGGGTGGCTGAGGCGGAGGTGGAGGGCAGGGCGCAGGTCGTCGGTATGGTGGCCGTAATGGGCAAACAGAGCGGGGACCAAAAGCACGGGGAGATGTTCAGGATGATCATCTCCCAGCAGTGCAGGCGGATGGGCCTGGGCTACCGGCTGACTCAGACTGTCATCGACTTCTGTAAGGACAACGGCTTCTCCAAGGTGGTGTTGGAGACGAGCTCCACCCAGACGGCTGCCGTGGCTCTGTACTACAAACTGGGGTTCAGTCTTGCCTACACGCACCAAGAAACACACGCCCCCCCCTGGCTTGTTTTCCTGACAAGAGTCACGATTTTAAAAATGGAAAAAGACCTGTAAATCTAATTGGTCCCTGATTAGCTTCTTTCAAGCTTCATCAGTGGTTTAGGTTTTTAGTCCAGGAGCATCTGAATGAATCATTACTGTTTGTTATTATTATGGTTGAGAGGGAGTTAGTGACACAACCCACAGTCCTTTGAAAGAGTCCCTTCAGAAAAATTGCTCTGAAGGGAAGTCACTTAGTGATTAGTGCGTATCCACACAGGAGCTGAATCAGGTGAGGCCGAAAACTTCCATGAGAAACATTTGATCACTGCTAAATGGTGCAACTACCCCACCTGCTGACGTAAACTGGCAACCATGAGGTAAGGTGGAGACTTGAAGCAACTTTTAGGATCACCAGTTGAATTTGTGAAAACAAATATGTTGGAGGTTCAGCTTCTTTCAATTTTCATCATGAAGTATTCCACTTAGCAATTCAAAGTTTCACAATCAGAGTGTTCGGTAGGTAAAGTGTGTTTATGAAAGATCAGTTTTTTGGTTCATTGTTCCCCCCACAAATCTGAATTGTTGAGAAAAGTGTTTTTAATCAAAATTTTGTGTGTATGTGTGTGTCAGACCTGTTAAAGTTTCATTCATGTATTATTGAACACCGTGACATACAGTATGTTTCAGTGCTTTATACACAACTGTGAAGAGTGCTAAACGTTTATTGTTTGACTTCTGATACTAAAGGCCATTAAATGTCTTGAAATTCTTCATTTAATCACTGCAGTCTGGTTGTTTGACCTTATTTTGTATCTCATTACACTGGAAAGCGAGGAGGAAATAGCTATTTACGATTTGTGTTAAACATGTGAAATGCTGGATGTGTTGTTCCCATGGATAACCTTTGACCTTGTGTTTTTTACGTTTATTTTAGTCGGCCACTGGATGGTGCTAAAAGTTTTGGAATCTTAAACACGTTCTCAGCCTCACATCAGTGTCGTTCAGTTTTTACCCCAACTCTCTCCTTTGAGAGTATATTTCCTTTTTGTAACTTCATTTTTTATCATCTTTCATCTGTCAAACACTAAACTTCACAAAAGATACTGTTGACTCGGTCTCAACATGTCCCAGCACTTTGTATTTCCTCCATTAATCTTCCATTTGGCTCCTCTGGAGTCTTACTATGCGAGTCGATTTCTCCATCATTCATATTCTTTAACAAGCTGCCTTCCTTGGTTTAGAGTTGTTGGTACTTCTCAGTTCCACCTGCTTGTTACTGTTTATAATAACTGTTAATGTTACTGTTAATATTACTGTAAATATTATAGCCAAAATATTTATCTTGACCCTGTCCATATTCATCTGAAAGATTATCAAGGTATAAGATGGAGACATTAAACATTTTCTTTTCCCAGCTCACTGCTAATGGCTTTCCAAAAAAAGGTTTTATGCGTCTACAGTTCACATTAACCAGTCCACGTTTTCTAGACTTTTATCGAAGCATTTATGTTTGATTTGTGACTTTAAAGAAAATAAAAAGTATTTTGCATTAAAGTTTTGTGAGTTAGTTGTTCTTCTTGCACATATGTTGCCAATCAACTTTGGATATTTTTGTGTTTGGTGTTTTTTCACATTGTTCTTTTCTATGTTTGGTTGGGTGTGTGCCATTCTCTGACGATAGATTATGTTCTTATTTGAATGTACTGGATGAGCACCTGCATGAGAATGGAGACCAGAGCTGCCGGAGAACTGGGAGGAGCAGCTTTGGTCAAAAACAAGTACATGGACATCTCAGAAAAACAACTTACTCCCACTTGACTGGGTATAAACAACAGAAAGTGCCACCAACCTCCTTTAGCAATGGTTGTGAGTATAAAGAATCCTAGGATTGTCTGGGTGTTTGCTATTTCTGCCTATTTTACCAACAAATTATATTATATTTGGGCTGTGGTAGCCATTATACTTAATTGTGTTATTTTGGTTCATTTTAAACTGGGGAAGGCTATTTCCCATCGATGTGGAAAACTTTGTTTTCAAGATTGGTTCAAACAAGGAGTCACACAGAGCCAGTCCCGTTAACGGAGCAAACTTTGCCACCTGGAACGATCATTTAACTGCAGAAGGAACTCTCGAAAAGCCTCCGGGGAGAGACTGGGTTGTTTGGCCACATTAAAGATGTTGTACAATCATTCTGCCTCTGAGAGCATGTGTGAGCAGTTCTCACGCATCACTGATGGCCCAAAGTTTCCATGACATTCATGTGCCTGGTGAGTATCCTTACATATGTCATACATCCTTATGGAGTGGAGAACAAGGTTATCAAATGACGAAAGGAAAAGTTTGTCCATTTTAGAACACAACAACATGGGCTTCCTGGTCATCCTCTGAAAATTATTCACACTATTAGTATAGAATAGTAAAAAGAAATACTTTATTGATAATTCAGAGTAAAACACATGACTAGAATACAAGTAGGCATCAACATTTTATAAACATATTCGATACAATTGAAAAAAAAATCAATAAATCTATCATATCACCATTACAGCTGTAACAATATCTTTAATGTTGTTCTTTGGAGACTTTGGAAAGGCTGCGGTAGGCCTTTCGGGCTTTTGCTTTCCCATGAGCTGACAGCCAATCCTTGAGCTCACAAGTTGTTACTTTTGGGCAAAAAAGATTGGTAGAACTTCTCTCGAACACCTCATTTTATCATTCGCTATCACCGTTGTGAAAGTTAGAACACATCAAGCATGGGTGCATCATTCTGCTTGTTGCTGAGCTTTGTAAATGCCTCAGATAGCTGAGTCTATTGGCATAGATACAGTTTAACCATCTTCAGCAATAGATGCTCTTTACCCAAGCCACAAGTGTGTGTGTTTTGTTGGGGGGGGGGGCACGATTCTATTTATCTCGAGAAAGACGTGTCCATACTGTAACAACATAATTAACTCATTGTCAATGCAAAACAAGCTTTCTTATCCCGAGATAATGACACTAAACAATGTTTTCCTGCATGGCATCTCCCTTGTGTTCATCAGCATGCGTCAGACAGTGAGACTCAATAAGATTGCCCTCTACTGGAAAATGTGCATTCGGGGTGAGCCTTTACCGTTGATTTGATCATCAAAACTATTTCATCTCTTGGGGTTGTGTAATTAACTGCACATTAGAATATATATGACAATATAAATGAAAACATATACATTTAAAAGTATAAATTTCATCAGTGACTTTACAGCTGTGCTTTTGTGCAAGATATTTGAATGTAAATCACCACATGTGTGATGCGATGGAGCTTCTAATGTAAAGGTGCTATGAGTAGTTAGCTATACTAAAATAGTACCTTTAAAATACAGCCCATTTGCAATGTGCAACCAAAATCCAGCAACAGGCATCCATCACCAATCCCCCCAAAAAAAAACTGCCAAGAGGATTTTTGATTATTTTGTGTTGCATGTTGCTAGGTGAGATTATGTTGAGCTCCATCTCACACCAGTCTTCTACATATGAATGAAAGTGCAACGTTCATACATTTTGATGCAGTAACCTGCTAACAACACCAAGATCCTCCTCCTAATAGAGACTTTAGCTTGGACCAACAACCTCTATGACCCTGTCAGGGGAAGGCCCATTTGCAGTTAACAGTGGTACAGTCGTTCCATCAATGGAAACTATCGTGTGCGTAACTATAGCGTACCCCTTTTGTCTCATGAGGGACACAGTCCTTTTAATTAGCTTTTAATACTTTAAGCAAATTTCTAAGTTCTTAGCTTCTTAGTTCAAATCCGTAGTCTAATTTCACGACACATTTAAAGATCAAAATACTGTCACTTTCCCACTTTCATGTAGCTTTTGAGGGACACTTGAAGAGTTTTTTTGTTGTTTTTTCTCGGGGGAAAAAAGAATTGTGTTCCTTTCAAACTGCTCCGTCATTACTTCTAGAACACACACAACCATGCCTGCATGCCTTTAGTTGTGTGTTTTTACACTGATAGCCCCGGCCAGCAGAATATCAGTCAACACTCAGCAGGACAGACCCCTGCTGGCTCTGTTGAAGCAACAGAACTATGCTACATTATATTACCTTATTTACAACCCTGTGGAAAAAACTCCAGTCAGGCTTGTAATAAATGTTTTATCTCTAGTTCCCAATGAGGATTTAATGTTGTTGCCTTCGCTTTATAGGGCCTGTAAACTTATTTTAGAACAATAAGTCTACTATTTTCTGTTTTATTTCTGTTTTTAGTTTTGCTGTTTTCACATGAGAGAATTTTGTATTTCTTTATTCCTCTGAACATATTTGTGAACACCACGAGGGGGTTAGGTTCATCTTGTTAAGCATTACATGAGGCAGATGTTTTTTTTTCCCACAAGTATTCAGGGAATATTCAATAAATCACACTACACATGGACCGTGAAGTAAAGACTTCTGTTATGCACTTACAATCAATACGAGTAGCTCCTCGCCCACTTTGAGTTGAGCTCAGTGGCCACTTGCTATATGTCCACTATTCAGACAGAACGATGTCGGTGTCATTAGCTGCTTTCAGTAATTAGATATTGACCTATTTTGTGTAAATGCTAAGCATTTTTGCTCAGACACAGAATTTAGTGTTCATTCAGGCTTTATGAATTTCACATTTAATTGACAGAAACACAAATCAAATGTCACTATCGATGTTTGTATTTTGGACTTTTCTAACAGTTCAAGAGCTACGATTAGCTTTTAGCGGTGAGGAAACACTGAAACAGTTGAAAATAAGAGTTTCTACTTTCTTTTAGTCCATCACAAACTGGCCGAAGTCAGACCTCACAATGTGGAAAGTCCCATCTCTACATCTCTGTACCCACAAGTTAAACAAATGACACTTGTTTTGAGTTCATCTCTACGCATTTTCAGGTGAATGACACTTGGCAGCATCCCAAAGCAAAGCGGGGGATTGGGAAACCATAGGGAAGGTTACTCATGCCTGTGTTATAACACTTGGCAGGGTTTTTTGTGTGCTCTGTCTCTCCATCAAAGGCTTTGAGTTCGATATATTTGTAAAAATGCCAAACAAGATGGCATTATTGAATCTGTGTCAGTTGTTAAAGAGGCAGATGGGACAAACATTCAAAGGTTTGTACTGGCAGTGACCTTGTATGCAAGTCAACACGCAGCACGAGCCCACTGTGTGATAGCCAAAGAGTGGAAAACATTTTCTTCTTCCGGTCTTGCAATTTTAGCTTCATTTTAGCCAAATAAAAAAAAAAGCGATGACGCCTTGAACTTTTAAATGAAAACTTTTAGAGAAAGAAAGGTTAATACATCCCAGTGCGGAGCATTATTTTCACTACCCCCCTCCACCCAGCAGAAAATACAAAAAATAAACAAAATTATGGAAAGAAAACAAGAATTGCCAAAGTGATTTGGAGATTATTTCGATTCAGAAAGATGATGTTGTGGTACATTTGTAGGGTTTTGAATATGAGAAGTTTGTTTAAATCAACGTACTCTTTAAATTATACAGTTTTATAAATGAATATATTGATTAGTAAATCCTGAAGAAATAATGAGGATGGGTCCAGTAGGCAGCACAGTTATTCAGAATTATTTGTATAATGGTGCCAGCCATATCAATAAAAAACATTCTTTTCTGAGCCAGTGTATCCTGATAAACTCTCAGATTTAAGGAGACTTCTGTTGGAATTATGCGTTTATCTCTTTCAGTTCTTTACAAATCCATGTTTAAGACAGTTTGCTGGAAAAATTCTGGATCAATATTGATGGACTTTGTTCATGTTTTAAGTCTGTTCGTGAGTAAAGATATTGACCAAAAGCTTTTCTTTGACATTCCTCCCTTCTCTTCTCAGAGGTATTTGTGAATGGTTATGTAAGTGTCTTCATTTCAAGAATCTTTAACAACCTTTGAATCTATGAGACGAGGCTCTTTCCACAGCCCTGTGAACCCTATGAACTGTGAGGAGGAACACTCATGTTTCCTACTGCTACAGAGCAAGTAATGATAACACTGGAGATGCTGAAATTTGTTTGGTCACAGAAAGCAAGATTGGAACCATCGTCTGTTTTCCTCATCTGTTCATCTGCCCTGATTATCTGTTTAGATCTGCAACAGCAAAAATTGGGAAAACTGAGCAGATATTTGATGAGAAATCAACAACTGAGTGATTGAGGAAATATGTTATTTTCTGTTAATTTAATTTCTCTAATTTTTATTTTTTATTTATTTACTGATTCATATATGGATGACACACTACATACAGTATTGTATTTGTATTACATACAAAATACATTTTTTGGTGTGACAATTCTCTTGAATCTTTTAAACTCCTATTTTTCCTGCTTGTCACCCAAACAGACACACATGCACCTGAAAGATGGATCTGGATTAACCATGAAGAGTGACACATATTAATGGGAAAAACACCCAGTTTAGATTAAATAATGGATGTGTAAGTATAGTCAGTTTAAAAAATGAGGTTGTATTTAGGTTGATCATCTGTATGATGTATGATCGTCTTGTTAGAGTTTAA